CCAGTCTGAGGGACCTGACCACCTCAAAACTCTTTAACGCGGTGCTGACTGATTACATTCGTTCTGTCAAGTTGTATCTTATGCTTCTATCTACTTTTCTGTACTTTCGACTGAAGAAAGCCTACTGTGTAGGGCGAAAAACGTTCGGAATAAAGATACCTAACTGATTGCTTATGTGGCCTTACCTAACAACTCTGTCGGTATTTATACATTTAATGTTCAAAGGAATTCTTCAAACATGTTCAACTATTGGCAGAAGAACTACGTATCGACTAGTGGATGGTTACCCTATGACCCGCTCACCTGCTTAAGTCACCTCACTACGTATATAAGCCACGGTTCTACGGCCCTATGCTTGTACATTCGACAAGATTGATGGATGATCACATCGAGCTCCAGGTTGAGGATTGATTACCTCAGTCTACCACTCTCCTTACCGCCCTTCTCTTTTGTCTTGGACTGATGAAGCACGTGTGATGCGAAACGTTTCACTGATATAAAGAGTCATATTGCTGCTAGTGATATCAATCTTCAACTTGTCGGTTTTCAAACCATTCATCACAACTGTCAGTCACTGCGCATCTGGGATCTTGTTACAAAGGATTCTTCAAAACTTGTTCAACCTTTTGGACGAAGACCACTTCCGACTAGTGTGATGGTACCACTATGACCCGCCGCTCCACCGGCTTTAAACGTCAGACCTCACTACAGTATATAAGGCCATGTTCTACGGCCTATGCTGTAGTTTCTAGACTAAGATTGAGATGAAACACAGCGATCCAGGGTGAGGGACTGATTACCTCATTTCCTCTCTCCTTACGCTTTCTTAGTATTGGACTGATGAAGCCACTGTGTGGCGAAAACGTTTCCTGAATAAAGAGTCCAATATGCTGCATACAGTGTCTCCAATCTTCGATTGTCGGTTTTTTCATACCATTCATCACACACATAGGTCTTTTCGCCATGCTGTTTAGTAACGTGACTCAACCTTTGTTGCTGCTGCGGAATAAGAGCTGAGCGAACTCTGGGGCACTGTGTCATTGTGGCGAGCGTCACAGCCTCGGTATAGTGTAAAGTGAAGTATTTTTCGCGTGCGTCATGCACAGATGCCTCTGGTCTATGGGGGCGTCTCTCTGGCGGTTGGGTCTGAGTGAGTAGCACGGGGCATCCGGACTTATCTTAATCGCGCTAGGCCTCGTTTCTGATAAGGTCTGCTATTTAGTCATATGTAGATCCCAAGTATGAGGATAGTGGATCCTGTCTCCACTCAAGTTCTGTACCTGTAATACAGTAATTCTTTCACAGAGAATCTGATCCTTGATACATCATTTGAAGAGCTTTCATCGGCGGAGATATTAAGAACATAAGAAATTAGAATGGGGATCCACTGCAGAAGGCTCTACTGGCCGCATGCGAGGCAGGTCCTGTATCTCTCAAAAGCTTGACCTCCTACCCAAGCTACCCTCAGAAATAACTCGCGTTTCCCCAATGACACCTATCAAACCAGCCCCTCACCAATCATAATTTTGTCCAATTGCGCTTTCTTAATTCTACACGAAGGTCCTAGCCTCTATCACCCACACTGGGCGACTGGTTCTCACGATCTACAACTCAGTTAGAAAATGTGCGAAAAAAGGAGTGAGGACGGGGGTTGCGGTTGGGAGCAGGTCCTCTCAAACCCAGCCGTTCTACTTAGTAGAGTCGAAGTTGATGGTTGATACCAAGATACCTTGTGGTGGCAGTGTGACAGAATGAACATTAAAATGGTATAAAAATACCGAGATTGTTAGTAAGACATAAGCACAGTTAGGTATCTTTTATTCGAAACGTTTCGCCTAACAGTTAGGACTTTTCAGTCGAGATACAGTAAAAGTTGATAGAAGCAGAGTACTTGAGACGTATGTACTCAGTCCATCACCTTAAAGTTTTGGGTGGTCAGTCCCTCAGTCTGGAGAAGTCAATTGTTCCGTTGTCTGAAACAATTATGAAGTTGAGTGACAGGATGAGCGTTTATTGTGCCAGGAGGTGAGAAGGGGTTGTTTGGGAGGGCCGGTCCCCTCTCAACCCAAGCCGTTCTTACTAGTGCGGTCGAAGTTGATGGTCTGTACCATGATACCCTTGTGTTGCAGTGTGGACAGAATGAACTTTATATGTTAAAATACCGACAGATTGTTAGGTAAGGACACATATGCAATCAGTTAGGTATCTTTATTCCGAAACGTTCGCTACACAGTAGGCTTCTTCGTCGAGTACAGAAAAGCTTGATAGAAGCAGAAGATACTTGAGACGATGGTAATCAGTCATTACCCTTAAGTTTGAGGTGGTCAGTCACTCAGTCTGGAGTAGAGCATTGTTCCTTGTCTGAACATATGAGTTGAAGTGACTGGATGGAGCCTTTATATAGTGCAGGAGGTGAGAGGGGGTTGCTTTGGAGAGGGCAGGTCCCTCTCAAATCCCAGCGTCTCACTAGTAGAGGTCGAAGTTGATTGTCTGTACCAAGATACCCTTGTTGTTGCAGTGTGACAGTCATGAAACATTAAAATGGCTAAATTACGACGATTGTTAGGTAAGACAAATATGCAACAGTTAGGTTTCTTTATTCCGAAACGTTTTCGCTACACAGTAGGCTTCTTCAGTCGAGTACAGAAAGTTGCTTTGAAGCAGAAGATACTTGACAGGACGATGTAATCACCCCCCCCCCCCTTCCCCCCCACCCCCCCCCCCCCCCCCCCCCCCCCCCCCCCCCCCCCCCCCCCCCCCTGTCCATCACCCTTAAAAGTTTAGGGTGGTCGTCCCTCAGTCTGGAGAAGAGCAATGTTTCCGTTGTCTGAAACAATATGAAGTTGAAGTGAACAGGATGGGAGCCTTTATATAGCTGCAGGGAGGTTGAGTCGGGGGTTGATTTGGGAGGGACAGGTACCTCTCAAACCCAGACCGTTCTCACTAGTGAGGTCGAAGTTGATGGTCTGTACCAAGATAACTTGTGTTGCAGTGTGACAGACTGAACATTATAATGGTATAAATATACCGTCAGATTGTTAGGTAAGAAACTATATGCACAGTTAGGTATCTTTATTCCGAAAACGTTTCGCCTACACAGTCAGGCTTATTCAGTCGAGTACAGAAAAAGTTGATAGAAGCAGAAGATCTTGAGACGATGTAATCAGTCCAATCACCTTAATGTTTTGAGTGTGGTCAGTTTCATCAGTTGAGAAGCGGGCATGTTCCGTTGTCGGAAACAATATGAAGGTGAAAGTGACCAGGATGGTGCCTTTATTATAAGTGCAGAGGTGAGGACGGGGTTGCTTTGGGAGGGCAGGTCCTCTCAACCCCTACGTTCTCTACTTAGTAGAGGTCGAAGTGATGGTCTGTACCAAGTATACCTTGTGTTGCAGGTGTGGACAGAAATGAACATTAAAATGGTATAAAATATACGACAGAGGGTTAGGTAAGACAACATATGACATACAGTTAGGTATCTTTATACGAAAACTTTTCGCTTCACGTAGGCTTCTGTGTCAGCGCAGTGAGTACAGAAAAGTTGATAGAAGCTGAAGTACTTGAGACGATGTAATCATGGCCAGTCACACCTTAATAGGTTTTGAGGTGGTCAGTCTAGTCTGGAGAAGAGCATGGGTCCGCCCCGCCCCCCTGGCTGAAACAATATAAGTTGAGTGACAGGATGGAGCCTTTATATGAGTGCCTGGAGGTGAGAACGGGGGGGCTTATGGAGAGGGCAGGTCCCTCCTCCAAACCCAGTCCGTTCTTCACTTGTAGAGGTCGAAGTTGATGGTCTGTACCAAGATACCCTTGTGTTGCCGTGGGCAACGATGAACATTAAATATGTATAAAATAACCGACAGATTGTTAGAAGACACTTATGAATCAGTTAGGTATCTTTATTCCGATACGTTACGCTACACAGTAGGCTTCTTCAGTCGAGTACAGAAAAGTTGATCGAGCAGATGATTCTTGATAGACGATGTAATAGTTCCATCACCCGTAGAAGTTTGAAGGTGGTCAGTCCCTCGCAGTCTGGAGAGAGCATGTGCCGTTGTCTGAAACAATATGGGATGTTGAAGTTAAGGATGGTGCGTTTTATAGTGCCAGGAGGTGAACGGGGGTTGCTTTGGGAGGGCAGGTCCTTCAAACCCAGCCCGTTTCCATCTAGTATGAGGTCGAAGTGGATGGTTCTGTACCAAGATAACTTGTGTTGCGTGTGGACAGAATGAACATTAAATGGTATTAAAATACGACGATTGTTAGGTAAGACCATATGCAACAGTTAGAGTATCTTTATTCCGGAACGTTTCGCCTACACAGTAGGCTTCTTCAGTCGAGTACAGAAAGTTGATAGGAAGCAGAGGAAACTTGCTAGAAGATTGTAATCAGTCATTCACCCTTAATAGTTGTGAGGTGGTAGTCCCTAAGTCCCTTTTAATGTTCATTCTGTCATAACACTATAAAGCAAAATCCGGTAGTTACAGTATTTCAAAATTACTAAGCAAGAGGATATTACCCATCCTGGGAACTGGTGTTACTTGATGCCAGCAGGTCCCTCTCTAACTTCACCTCCTTAGTTCCATTACTACTACTACTACTATTACCACTTCTACCCACGCTTCACCTCACCTGACTCCCACCACTATATATATGTGTGTTTTCTTAGTTTTCTCTGTATTAGGACTGAAGAAGCCACTCGTGGCGAAACGTTTCCTTTAATAAATGTCCTGAA